AAGTGTTTACACACCACTTCAGAGAAAGGGCTTATGAAAGACTTAAGATTTAAGCTGTGTGTATAAAAGGAAAAGAGAGGCAGCGCGGAGGTGGTTGGGATCATTTTTATGACTGAAACATCAGTGTAGACTAATACGGTCTTCATAGGGAGACAGATGGATAAAAGAACGTAGAGATGGCTCAGTGTGCAAAATGTTTATGGGGGCAATTTGATGCTGGGGAATATGGTGATAACATTTTTACTTTGGATATAACTTAGAGTTAAAGACCTAGGACACCCATGACCAGAATTGGAGACTGAGGGAGATTTAAAATTCCTCCACATGCTCTAATTGCATTAATATTTTTCTCTACCAGGCCCTTTCATTGTCCCTAACTGTGTTACAAACACAGCAAGTCCTTATCCTCAAAGAAGTCACCATGTTAGGAAAAAGGCTATAACTCACTGAGTGCAGAATCTCTACTCAGAGGAGAGAATGTCCTGGGATCTTTGGCCCAGCGAAAAAGGGAAACCAGGGGAGCTAATGTAGAAGGTAGGGAATATGGACCAACTCGAAGATACACTCGAACTCAGGGACATGGGACAATGGGACATGTGATTACAAAGGGATTCAATGTCAAGACAGCAAATGGTAGGGAACTGGACACTCCAGTGAAACGTACGTGTGATTTGAGGAGGGCTAAAACATTTCGTTTCATTGTATCACACCAAAGAGTAATTCCACTAAAATAAAGACTACCAAGAACTGGAAAACAAAGCATCTAATTTGACTTAAAAAATAAGTTTAAAAAAATCTGTGTTTAAATCCCCAGAACCAGCGGGTCAAAGGAGTGATTCATTGTGAACTCTGCCCTCAGGCTGGAGCTGCTGACACCATCCTGGTAGATAATTGCCTGTCCTGTCCTTAAGGTTCTTGTGGGAAGGAAATTCCAAGGCCCCTTTGGTAATGAATGCATACCAGTGCCTGAATGGTCCCTCTAGGAAGATTTCCTCTCCAAGGAGCCTGAAATCCCGTGGCCGCAGTTTATCTACTTCCTCTAGTTCTGCTAGTCCCAGTTCAGCTCCAGATCCTCTATTTACAAAATCATGTGATTTTAAAAGATCATTTAAGGCTCCCTTCACATCATGTCTTAACTAAAGTTTAATAACACAAGAAATGTTTGCATAGGGACTGGTGACAAGGAAAGGAACTTGGATGTGTCTTGGCTTTTGCTCTCTGGTTTCCCTAGAATGACCTTCTGACCCCTGTTCAGCAAGCCAGCTCCAACACTTTCTTCAAAGCCTAGTTTCGCTCCCTTCCTAAGCCCCCTCTTAGGTGGTATGCCATTGGGGGGGCAGGCACAGAGCCAAATAATAAAACCGTAACACAGGGTTCGCAGTCTCGCTTCACTTGCCGGGAGCCTGCCCTTCCCACTCTGCTCAGGGTGTGGTGGTGGGGGAGGGGTGGCTAGTGTCCTGAGCCTTGTCCTCCACCTTCTGGGTAATGACATTAACCTGCCTTCTCTCTCATGTGGCCCCCATATGTCTCTGCCAAAAGGGACAAGGTGACATTTGGCTAATTTTTTTTGCTAATGAGCATAATTGGGAGCTGTCTAGGGAAGCTTCCTTTTTCCAGGTAATTTGTACATCTTAACAACAGCCTTCTGGAGCTGTTGTCCTCCTGTGTTGTGCATTGCTACTGTGGGAATTTCTAACTAATTAAGAAAGGAGTGGGCAGTGGGCCAGGCTGGAGAGGTAATGTTTTTGGTTTAGTCAGGCTTTGCTACACCCTACCTCTCACAGCTAGGTCAGGATTTTTATTGACCCATGGCAGGGCTGGAATTGTTCCTTTAATTTGTTATTTTTAATTACTTTTAAAATTGGAAATGTCATGTGTACACCATGGAAAATAAACCTCCTCCAACCCCAAATTCCCAGTCGCCTTCCCCCATGACATCAAATATAGTCCTTTCCACAAAGTACGGGTGTAATGAACAGGTGCTAGTATATGAGTGGATTTATTTATATCAGGTAGCTTAAAAAAATGGGAAGGCATGGAATAAGACAACCTCAGCATTGCAAAGAAGGAGGCCTTATGAAATAAGAAAGCTCTTTATAAGCATATGAAGGTCAATGATTGATTTTTTAAAAGGCTGATTAATTAAAATAAAACATTTATTAAGGGTCTATTATGTGTCAGGTCCTGGTCTGGTGACGTTTGAGGTGTCAGACTGATAAGCTCAATTATTAATGGAGAGAAGCCTTGTAAGTTGTACTAAGTGCTTGAGGAGCCGGGGAGCAACTCATTATGTTTTCAGGAGTCAGGAACATCTTATCAAAGGAGGAAACATTTGCACGTCCTTGAAGGATGCTTCTAAGTTCTTCCAAAGGAGAAAGAGAAACAGGAATTCCAACCCTAGCAAATACCACGAGCCAGCACTCAGAGCGGGAGAATGAATGCACAACCTTTTCAGGGGGATGGGTCGGTGTGACAGGCATGCAGGCAGCGTATCTGGGTTGGAGATGGCGCTGAAAGGGAAGCTGGGGACCAGGTTACCACGGGCTGCGTGTGTCTTCTGTGGAGAAGGAATTTTGTCCCGATGTGGAACTGTTGGAGACTTTTAGGTTGAGAAGAGACCACCCCCGCACGCCCCCAGGATAATTCTGATGGTGGTTTGAGAAATAGATTGATACCGGGAGGGACTAGAGTCAAGCAGGATGATCCAATAATCCAAGCCTAGAGTGATGATGCAGTAATCCAGGCCATTCTGGTGGGAATGGGGTGGAGAGAAATTTCTAGGCTGGTTTACATGATTAACTATGTCTTGATAGTTAACTGGAACGAGGAAGGGGCGCAGGGATTGAAGGCTGATGCCAAATTCTTTGTGGGTACAGCACTACTGAAAGAAACACAGAGCAAAGGAGAATGGCTGTATGGAGCACATATCTGGTGAATTAAATCTGAGGCTTGTTAGTTTGAGATTTCTGTGGCACAACCAAGCCAAGGACCTCTGCAGGGAAAGAGTTTCAATGATAAAAGTGCAATTAGCAATATCCAGTATTCTATAAAGGTCAAGGAAGATAAAAAATTAGAAAGTAGCCATTAGGTTTGTTAATTAGGTTGTCAACCATGACTTTTGGGAGGGCAGTTTCAGTAGAAGAGGAAGGAAACCAGTTACAACAGGCTGGCAACTGAAAAAATCTTTAGCAAGCCATATTTATATGTGGAAGGAAGACAGCTTATAGAGAGAGAAATGGATGCAGGCGTGTGACTAGCAAGGCAGGACAGGTGGGAGAACTGCCCTGGTTTGGCAGGTTTGCGAAGGAGAAGGACACTCGTGGCACCACCTCAGGGATGTACTTGCCCCTAGAATCTCACTAATGGCTGCTGCAGCCATCACACTCACTGTGGGGGTGGAGGAAGGGGCTCCTTTTTCTTTTGCAGACCACCCAATCCCTCCTTACTTCTCCTAGCACCCTGGTTTAAGAGCCACTTTAAACTGGCCACACAAATGTTCCTATCCTTAGAGCTCACAGGTACAGCCTTACGGGGTTTCTAAGGAAGCAGCTCCTTCCAGTCCTGGCTCCGGGAGGCCCAACTCCTCCTCACTGCTCGGGAGCCCCCATGAAGACCTGAGACACCGGGCCCAAGAGAAGGTGGACCAGGAAGAGAAAAGCGTTTCCTCTCTCTTTGGTCTAAGGCTGCCTTCCAAACTCTTGCTTCTTGTCCTTGTGTGACTCATACGGAGACTGGCCACTCCTTCAGCGAAGACTCCACTCTACCTTCTACCCAAAGAGAGTGACACAACCCTGTGGTCCCAAAAGAAAGAACAATCACACCAGAACAGGAGAGTCCAATCATCACACATGGCATTCATAGAGGGTTTCTGATTTTGGATTACCTTAAGACAGCAAGGGTGGTGGGGGAGGTAAGGATCAGTGGGATGCAGGAAACGTAAAGCAGTTTATTTCTTGATGTATCTTGTTGTCTGTGTGAGGTAGAGTCCTAGGACTACTGATGGGAGGAGGGGTAGTGGGTCAGTTGGGATTTGGAGAGGAATAGTTTGGAAAATGGAGATTGGAGACTATTAGAAAAGGGTAAAATATTGCCCAGGAGCATCAGAGACCCCGCTGAACACAGAACTCCTTCACTTGGCTAGTCAGCATGGCTATGTGAGTTATTTCTCTAGCACAGTAGCAGCCTGGGGCATGTATGAGGAAAGTCGTGGTTGGAGTTATGCAAAGCTGTGGGCTGGCTAGGTAGGCGCAACCTAAGGACAGTGATGTGAAGAGTAGGGTGCTGGTGAGAATGTGGTTGGAAGTCTGGGTCACGAGGCCCAGGCTGAGTAGGGAAAGAAAGTAGACAGGAGCGCTGGTGGATTGAACAAGGGATGAGGGGAGGAATCACAGGCCTTGCTAGAGGAGGTGGGTTTGGGGAAGTAAGGGAATGGGACTGATGAAAGGAGGAGTTTCTGGCTAGACAATAGGTTCCTGAGTTTCAGATGTCAGAGATGAAATAACGCTGGGCCTGGGAAGTGGGAGTGGGTCGATGCAGGGAAGTCATTTGTCTCACATTGGGATGCGTACAATGATGTGGTCATCAAACTGGGACTTCTTAAACTCATTAAAATAAAATAAATCTGTCCTTGAAAATCAGGTTGACGAAACCTAAATAAATGCAAAATTGGAAGGTAATTGCTGTCCTTTGCATATCTTAACAATTAGGAGGTAGGATAGGAAAGGATAGGGCTCTCTGTAGAACTTATAAAGAATAATACAGCCCTGGCTGGTGAGGCTCAGTGGACTGAGCTCCAGCCTGTGAACCAGAGGGTCACTGGTTCGATTCCCAGTCAGGGCACATGCCTGGGTTGCGATCTGTATCCTTAATTGGGGGTGTGCGAGCGGCAATCACATATTGATGTTTTTATCCCTTTCTTTCTCCCTCCCTTCCCCTGTCTCTAAAAATAAATAAATACAATTGTTAAAAGAGAAAAAAAGAACAATACATGGAGACCTCACTTAGTGAGTGATCTTCTATTAAGGGAATGAACTAACATATTAACAAGTTTTAAATTCCAGACTGCTTACTTCTCTGGAAGAATAAGACAATCCTGGCAGCAGTAAGATTCCTCACCGGGTTATCTGAATCCCCACCACTCCGTATTGCTGTGCCACACCTGGCTGAGTGTCAGCTGCTATTTATCATTATGTTCACATTGTCTTTCTTAGAGTTGAGAGGAAAGTGAAATATTTCTTTATTTCTTGTATCATCAAAGGCTCTTTTCAGGATTGGAAAACCGAAGATGACTCAGGAAGAGTGTCCCTCTGTATTTGATATGGAAATACATCACTGTTGAAAAAGTATAAATTATGCATCTCTTATGAAACAAATCCTCCCAGCTTTGCTCGCTGCATTATGTGCCTGGCTCCTGTAGGCATGGGAGTATACAGTGACTCCTGTAATAAATAAGAGCAGAACTACAATTACATACATGCAAGTTTACAAAAGCAGTGTGATAAACAACAGTAATTTTTAGAGCAAATCATATTACTGTCCTGATAGAATAATCCTATCAAATGTCCAGTAATTAATAGATTCTCTCAAAGCGCTACCTAACTCAATAGCCACTGATGACAATTTAACGAATTCACGTAGTGGTTTCTCAGTGGCTGGAAAGCGTCACTGTAATTCCCTGAGTGCCTCATTTATTGTCAGCCATATACACTTGGAGAAGGTGTCCTCAAAGTAAATGGGTGAAGGGTCTTTAGTGTCAGGAGGGGAAGAATATGCAAATGAAAGCTTTTGGCAGGTCTAACTTACTTCATTGTTGCCTAGGAAGAAAGGGAATCGCTACATATTTCCTGTTGAGATTCATGAGAAAATAAACATAATCCAGGCCTTAGGAGCATACTAGATTAAAATCAGCACCTTGGATTAACTCGGGAGGCAAATGGGTAGCCACTGTGGACCAGTATGTTGCTATGATCTGCTATTTCCTTAAAGCATTGTGGTCTTCTACTTTCTGCTCTAGCAAGTGCTCATACTAAGCATAAGGGGAGAAGTCCAATGTGGAAGTTCAGCGGTTCAATTACATCTTTAGAGAAATACAGGAAATAAAATGAGACTGAGATTTGGGAGAGAAAATTGTCATAATACATTGAGGGAAAAATGATCTGAAGGCCAAGTATTCAGTGAGTCAGAAAAATTTAGAGTCATAATGTGAGAGCCTACAAACTGGAAATTAGATACGAATGCATAACCTGCGAGGGTATAAATGACGGCAAGAAGTCAGTAAACAGCGTCAGTGTTTTCCGGGGGAGGCCGAAGGAAGGCTATTAGGGATGACAGAGCCTGAATAGCTCATGTTCTAGGCATCCAAGTGAAGATGCAAGCAAATAGAAGACTGTCTGGTGAAGGGCAATGACAATGAGTAAAAGCTGAGATGGACTGAAATAGAGGAAAATTTAAAAGATAAGGCTACGTATTGCTGGCATGATGAGATGATGAGATCTTAAAGGTATCTATTGGCTTTACACATTATGAACAAATTATTCAGCAGGATCTAACCATTAGTATATAGATATAATAAATTGGCATAAACACCAGGGAGTTACCCGGATTGAGCATTTTACTAATGTCTTGCCTGTTTCTTACTGCCCTGCTCTGAAAATTAGTCTGAAGGAACCATTAGATAAGTATTTGGTGAGGAATGACTATGATACTTGGCTCTTTTTCTCACTCTAACTTCTATGAATTTTACAATGCCATGAAAACACTTTGGCAAAATATTTACAATTTCTTCAATAACATCGTTCATGGAATAGGAGAAATGGAAAGCCATCACTTAGTAGCTGCAGAGAGACAGGCAGGAAGGAGAAGAAACAGTCACTCCCTGTACTGTTTGTGATGAACAAAATCTGAGTTTAGCTAATAAAGAGCCTGCTGGGAGCTGAGAATTTCACTTGCCAGAGAAACATGCTGCTTCCCATGACCATATAGGAGAAACGATACCTACGGTCTGGCTGTTTGTGGGATGGAGAAGTACAGCTATAACACCCGCAGGCGTGTGACCAGCAGCTTGTGGGAGACAAGCACTTATGGGGATAAAAAGGAACCTGGCACAGACCTTGTGCTTCTGGCATCATTAGTTACAGGTCTGCCAAGATACTTTGGGAAACGTTTTAATTTAAATACCAAGTATATTTCAACGAAGTCTCCCTGGTTTGACCTGTTGGGAGTCCAGAGTGAGATGGATAGGTGCTCATTTTGCAGATTAGGCAAATGAGATGGTGCTTTTATAAAAAGCATCCTGGAGGTTTAAATCTCTCTCTATCCTCACTCACCCAGGGAAACTCATGGTACAAGTTGCAGGATATATGGCTCTCACAGCACTTCACTAGTGATTGGTAACTGCAGGAAAGGGCAGACACCTCCAGGCATTTATTCAAAATATCAAGGTTAGAGAACCTTAGGAATAAAAGCCTCACATTCTTCCCTTTCTCTCCCATGGCATACTCGGAGGATACTATACAGACCATAGCAGCTTCAATAAAGTAGATCAAGAACTTGATTTGAATTCTTTGAACATATTTTTTTTTCTGCAAAAACTATCACAAAACAAAAAAAATTTTTTTGAGCCGAAACTAGGTGAAAAGAAAAGGGATGGGACTGAATCAAATATTAAAACATCGTTGTCCTTCGATGTAAACATATTTCTGTGAGTGTGTAGGCCCTGGTTGGCAAGAGTGGATAAAAAGCCTATTTGATGGTTTACAAAAATACGAATCCACAAGATCAGAAGAATTAAAATGCCTCCTAAGAATAACATCGAGGCATTTGAAGTTGCTTCAGAGGCAGGGGTGGGTATGTATGTATGTATGTATGTATGTATGTATGTATATAAAGCCCAGTTCCTCAGAGGCTACTGGGCAGTTTGCTAAAACATCATGCTAATAAGATCAAGGGCTTTGAGTTCACCGCGGCCCCCCCCACCCCGCCCTCCCCCCATCAGCAGACTATCAGTTTCTCTTTCAGCACCCTGCGAGAAGCAGACTCCTAGGAAAGGAAATTCAATAGTTGGAGAAGAGCTGGGTGCTAAAGGAGGGCTGGAGGCTGGAGTCAGGGAGCCAGGGATGGAAAGGGGGGTGGGGCCTCGCGTACCAGGCTGTGCATTTGGGCCCAGTCCGGCTGGAGGGATGAAGATTCCGAGGTGGAGGGACGGGGGAAGTGTTTGCGCCAGGGAGCCACACAATCAAGGTTGATTTTTAGGTGTACCTAAGGTCGCTGTACCCAAAGCGTTGGGGATGGGGATAACTGGGGAGGACCAGAGAGAGGAGGAACCGGCAGTTGTGACCCAATTAGGATATATTGGCTCTCAGAGGGCTGGACCAGCCAGCATCTCAGGGACACTAAGAGGAAGGAACATCGGTGATAAATCTCTGTAGGGCGACTCAGAAGGCACGGAGCAGGCTCTGCTGAAGTCCTCTGCTCCTTACCTCTCTCCATCTGCCCCCCAATTCATCCATCCACGCCGCCCTGGCATCCTGGAAACCAGTTGAACCAATTTACAGTTTCAAGAGCCCAAGGGAACGGAACTGGTTTCTGTATGTGACTTGGGTCTGACCACTGCACTGGGGAAGCCCAGAGGGGAACGTCCGGATGGCTTTTCCCCTAGCTGTGTGACAGGGGAACGAGTCCCGTGCTCGGAGGCTGGGGGTAGAAGGGAGGGCGGAGGCTGAGTCCCCAGAGACGCGGGACATCAGCTCCTGGCCCAGGGGCCTACAGGGTCGTTGCCCCTCGGGGCGCCTGGCGGGTGATTGGCAGTTACCACAGTCCTAGTGGGGCACTGGGTATCCGGCACGCGTCGCCACCTCCGGTCGTTGTCAGCCAGGCTGCTAAATTCCCGCGGCCCGATGACCTGGCCCCACAGCAACGGCCGCGACCTCGAGCCGAAGCCTAGGCGACCAGCGGTGGGTCCGGGGAGGTCAGGGAGGGTCCCTGCGGCCTGTAGGGGGCAGCGCCGAGCCTAGGAGGAGACTCAACTGCGGGCGGGGGTGGGTGGGTCTGGGCTACCCCGGGCCAAGCAGGGACTATCAGGGCCCGGCTGCCCCTGCCCGCCGTGCGCTTCCTCTCCACGCTTCAGGCCTCAGCGGGACCCTGGAGGGACGTGGCAGGGCCAGCTCCAGACGGCCTGTAGGGAGTTGGATCAGGGGAGACCTGCGTCGCTTCCCCTCCGAGAGGGGTGGCGAGACCCTCCAGAGGCGCCTCCGCGTGGCCAGAGTTCGTCGGGTCGCCTGCGGCTTCCCCTCTCTTTAAGCCCGAGGTGGGCACCCCGAACCCGGGGCAGGGCGCCCGGGTCCCGCGCGATGACTGCTCCGGCCCCCGGGGAGGGCGGGTGCCCTGAGCCCTAGAGCTGGGCGCCCCGTTACCTTGGGGTGGGTGCCTGGAACCCGGGGTGGGCACCCGGCGCGCGCGGGTTATTTTTGGCGCCCGCGGCTGCATGTGTGTCTGGGCGTGTTTTCCTTCCCCAGGTGCCCAGAGCCCCGGCTCCGCCGCCACCAGAGCTGACTTGGGTCTCTCTTCTCTCCCCTGCAGGAATCTTTCCATTCTGCCGTCACGACTTTCACCGCGCGCGGGGAGAGCTGGAAGCAAACATCACATCTAAATTAAAAAAAAAAAAAAAGAAAGAAAGAAAAGAAGAAGCGGAAGAAGCTGCGAGGCGGCGACAGGGAGGAGGCGAGGAGGAGGGGCCGCGCACGGCGGGCCCGGCCCGAGGCGGCGGCGGGGACGCGGGGACGCGGGGACGCGGCTTTGTGCTGGCGGGTCGCGGGGCGCCCATGGCGGAGTGCGGCCGGGGGGGCGCCGCTGGCGGGGCCCTGCCCACCTCCCCGGGCCCAGCTCTCGGTGCCAAGGGTGCCCTGAAACCCGGGGAAGGTGACGGCGGCGGGGGAGGTCGCCTCGGCCACGGGCGGGCGCGCTGTGACAGCGGCGGGGTTTCTAACGGAGACTGCAGCCTCGGCGTGTCCGGGGACGAACCTCGGGTCAGCCCCGCCACGGGACCTCACGGTGGGGTGCTCGCTGCGAGCCCCAGCCCAGCTGCCTACCCTCTCAACAAGCCGGGCGGCCTGCCCCGCCGGAGCAGCATCATCAAGGTAAGTGGGAGAAGGGCGCTCATCGCCCACCCCCAGCCGCCCTTGGGGTCTGTTTCCCCAGGAGGGGAGTGGTGGTGGAAGGAGGGGTTTGTAAGAGGAGCCCATTGCTAACGGGAACCACTGGTGCACGGGTGCTTGGGATGGTTGAGCAGCGATTGGATGCCAATGGCATTTGGAAAGATTCTAGAGATGTTCCTCAATGTGCAGGGGGAACTGTGCTCAGACATTCCCAGTTAAACTTGGGGCTGTCACCTCTCCCAGGATTGGCCTGGAATTATGGCCTGTACCTGGATGGGCAGGGCATGTTCTTCTGTGGTAGCTTCAGCTGGTAACAGACTCCCAGTAAGGTTTCTATTGTATGTTCAAGGCAGTTAGTGATTATGTGAAAACATTTTCTTAAAAACCCCAGGGGGAGAACAGAGATTATTTTATAGGTTTCTTCTGATCTGTATACAGCTGCTTTTTGCAAACGGTTATACTTCGTGGCTGCAAAGTCTCTGGTCACTCAGTCACACGGAGACATGGAGTAGGGTTCTGAACGTAAATGCAAATTTCCGCTTTCTTAGGCTCAGAAGCACTGAGAGGTTACAGTTCTGGACGATTTAGGCTTTTTCTTGCTGCAGTAGGCTGGTCTTTCGTTCTGTGGAAGTTCTTTTGGGCAGTTTGCTTGGTCTTGATATCTCTTGCATTGTGTTATTTAGCAGAAAAAAGTCAGCAATTGTTTTGTGTATTTTAAGCTCAAGAAGTAATATTAGGAACTCCTGAGTTTGTTGTGGTTTCATTCTAATATTACATTTTGGTCTGCAGTGTAAAAATATTTCTTGTGACATAAAGTGAAAAGAAATAGTTGATGAGCTAAGAAGAGCTGAGCCTCAGCAAGACTAGCTCATTCTGCTCAAGTTTGGAGCAAATATGAAAATGTTGCTTTCTGAAAAGCAAGAGGTTACCAGGACAGTGAGCAGCCAAGCACACTGACAGGGCTGCACCTATAGCTGATGACTGGTGGGAGGGAAGACAGAATGGGCCACAGTGAAAAGAGTTGGCACCGGTGGCGCTGGAAATTTAATTGGACCTACAGCAGTCTCCTAAGTACAGTGTTAAGTGTCTGATGCTGTTATCAACTTATACAGTAATCTATTGAAATACACCACCTTGCTACTCTGTGTTAACAGGCAGTTGTGAAACTGCTTTTCGCTTTGTCATCTGTTTGCACAGTTTATGTCTGGGCAAGCGCACAATAGAAGGGCTTAGAGCTCAAGTGTAGTGACCTTCCTGCAGCAGGTGTTCTGAGTTAAACTAAGAAAAAAGTAAAGTATATTTTTGCTGCATACCTAGCTTTTAGTGATATATATACACTGTAGCTTATATTTCCATGTAAGTTGCTTTCAGCTGTGTGAGATAATCAACCCTATTGACAGAGTTATGTGTCATATCTGTTTTTATCCATGACTAGAGATTTGTGGTGATTTTGTACTGTGATATTAATGAAATTTGAGGTGAAAATTCCAGAGGAGATATCAGCCTACTTTTAACTCTTCACCTCCATTTTTCTGGACGGGCCTGTTTTTACATTTTAAAAAATTCCAACTTTATTGGTATTTGTAGTGGGATTCACAGTGTAACTTAGTTACAACAGCATCTACTTTAATATATTCTTAGAAGATTAGGAAGGATGGTTTGCCCCTATTTCTGATGTGTGGAATTGAGAACTTTTTGGTAGATGTCACTTCTTCATTGAAGATTCTAGAAGAACATGGGAAAATGATTCATTATAGAGAAATTACTGGTTTCTGAGTTGTTAAACTTTGAAAGATTTTTTCATTTTTCTTCTTGCTAATGAAGGCAGTTAGCTTCTTGTTCACAATTGTTTTCCTAGGTACACGTGGCCAGCAACATCGTAAGGCCTCAATATGCTTCCTGAGTGAATGGAGGAGTGATAAGGAAGTACATGTTTTCTCTGTTAAGTTCTCTTAATTTCTGAAATGGGCTATTTTGGATTTACCAGTCTCATATCTTATTCATTGACTTGTACCTCCTGAGGTGACTTGATCGACTGCTTTTTGTTGCCAAGTTGATCAAGCCTGGATTACAGGAAAAGGTTGTGCTGTAATTAAGTAGGTAACTAGTGGGTATGTTTCCTTGAAGAATCAAGATTTCAGCAAGTTAGTGCGGTATTTCCTAAAGGCATAACAGCCTCTATCCTAATAAAATAGAGAACTTTCACTTTAACATCAAATTTCATATAGCAATGAATAATGCACAGATGTTTTCCTGTCACATGAATGGCAGAAATTATATTTCGCTTTTGTCAGAAAATAATACAAAGCTTAGCAAAAGCCCATGTAAAAAAAGCAACAATGACCTCCTTCCTGGGTTTCCTTGTGTTCGTTTTGAATACAGGGGATGAATGCAGCCAGGTGATGGAACAGTAGAGGCGGAAGTCGATTAATAAGCAAGACCATAATTGGGGGCTTGAGAAAATGGCAGGAGTAAATTCTAGCTAAGGAACAGAGACCAGAATTCGCGGGGCTGTGTTCGCTGAAATGTCAGGCTTGTGAGCTGTGCCCGTTCCCCAGCTCCCGTCTTCCTCACAGCCCTGACTGACAGCCCTCTCAGGTGGGCATCCCAGCGCGCACAGGAGAAAGCCTACTGCTGACGTGCAGAACACAGGCAGAACCACACCGTGGTCTCGCCAGAATTATATTCTCCTTTTAAAATCATTGCTTTTTCATTCCATCTGCTTTGGAAATGCGGCATTGAGTAAGAAATTGTTGTCAAACTACATTTCTGCCAAAGTGGGTGCACGGATCTATATTGAAAGAGCTCCTTGGTTATGGTAACAGTGTTGGTGAAAATACAGAGTGAACAGCCTTGTAGAACCTTTTGCAAATGCCACGAGAAGATAAATAAGCCATGGGGCTCATCACCATCCTTGTCTCCTTTTCCTTAGCTCATTGAAAATACTGTTATACTTTTGAGATTATTTACGAAGGCCTATGACTAGGTTTTTAGGGAACGGGCCATTAATGTTTGTCTTCTTAAGTGATCTAGTAGACGAAAACATCACTTTCATTTTCTCTTTTCATATATCATGTCATCACTCTATTCAATACGATGCATGCTTTATTTTGAAACAGTTAATTTGGTTTGTTGTTCACATAGCGTCCGTGTCTTTTACAAATAGCTGAATCCTTTAACTTAGGAGCTTGGTCTGAAAATATGAAGGAGCATTTTAGGCCCTAGATTTCTTTTTAATTTTGGAAGTAAGTGAAGTTAAAATGTCTATATATTTGGATGGTTTATTTTAATCAAAGCTAATTGAATCTTTGAGTTGGTACTTTTAAAAACGTGGCCTAATTTGCATAAAATAGAATTCACTTCTGTTGGCGAGTTCCGTGAGACCTGACAAACACAAATGTGTGTTATCACCACCACAGTCAAGACATAGCGTAGTTCCATCACCTCTGAAAATTCCCCAGCCCCTTTGTAGTCTTCCCCACCCCCGGCCCCGGACCAAGGCAACCTTTGATCTTAGATACTTTTTTAATAAGCAGGAAATATAGATACTGCATTATTTTGGTATTTAAAATAACTGCTGCCAGCACTTACTAAACACCTACTACATGCAAAACACAGGAAAAGTGCTTAACGCAGTTCTTTGCCTTGGTTCTGTACCCATCATGTAGGCTGAAGAAAATCAGAAGTCAGAGAGGTTAACCACTTGGCCAAGGTGTTAGAGCTGGTGGACGTACTCCACTTGGGTACAGCTGTGCTCTGCTGCTCCCCAAATTATACTGGCTCTTTTAAATTCTCTGTTTGATTTTGGTAGCGTTGGTAATTTGGAACACTGGCTTTGGTTTTCCTCTTTAAAGGTAGGGGACATGGGAGCGGGGGGAAAGAATCTGTTTCTGCTGGCAGAAGAGGTTGACAGATAATGTAATCAGGCAGCTGTTAGTCACCTGTTGTAGCTGCTTGACCAGAGCCACCAGCTTCACTGGGACGGATGATCTGACCTTGTCAAGGTGGCAGCCCTTATTTTTCTTAATATCATCAGTGTCACGGTCATAGTATCATGCTATGTAGGGAAAAGGCCTTTATTACCTTTTTGCCACAATATATCCCTATGTCTTGATACTGAGCATCCCAAAGTGGGGAATAAACAGGCATTTTGGATTTATCATACATATTTAAACAGAGTAATAAAAATATGCCCATGAAATTATATTGTCTCCTGGTTTAAATAAACTAGACTCCTCGTCGGCAAAAGCTGGGCTATATTTATCACTTCTGCATAGATAATAAGCACTCAGTAAATGTATTTTGAATTGGATCTTAAATATACTATTTGCATTTTACTTTAGATATTTTTTTTTCTTGAATGGTTGGGAAAAGACAACTGCATGCCCCAAAATCTTGTGGGCATAAATATTGAACAAACAGTAACAGGATTGCAAAGTGAGTTTGTCTGGATAGATAGGCAGCCTGGATCTTTTAGGTCAGAAAAATCTATTGGCCATCCGGCAGCTCCCCACTTCACTTTGAACTAATGCATTTTAGGTCACACGAGATAACTGTTGAGAGGCCAGGGCATGGTTCCTTCTCTCAGCTGCTCAGTTTTCCAGCCTTTCCTCCAAACAGTTATGTTTGACTTGTGTTGTTTCTCATCAGGTTCAAATAGGCAACTGACACGAAATTGCTTTGCTTTGTTTTGTTTTTAATTGCTGATCTCGGCCACTCAAGCTATTTTCTTAGATTGCTCTCTCCCAGAATCGGTTCAGTTCCTTTTACAGTTCTGTGCTCTCCACAAGGGGTCTGAACTTGACTGTTCCTTTTTTCTTTTCCTTTCCTCCTTCTTCTTTTTGATGTCTAAGTTACCCATGCCTCACTATTGAACAAAATAGGGCAGTGTTATTTATAGCCGAAATGCAGATATACATGAAGTATGGACATTCGTATTTTTTCTTCAGCCTGTATTTTAAACATGTATGTCCAAAAATAGATG